AGTCCCACAGAAAAGTCCACTCATGGAGGTAAGTCCTTAAAGCTAGTGCTATGTTAGTGATATTATAATAAGCCAAGATCAAGTTAGGACATTTAGTTAAGCTACTGCACCTGCGTTTAAGCAGCAAAATGTCCCTTTGACAGTACATCCCGAGTTGAAAGGATGTTCTTAGCCACATTTTCAGACAACAATTGTATAAGAGGGGTGGTGCAGGGGGTGTTCCTACAGATGTTACGACTCCTTGAGACTCTCCCTCTCTGTCTGCCTAACCGACTTCTGACTCTCTCCTTTCTCACTTGGATTATAGCTTACTAAAATACAGTATCACCTAGTTATTTTCTGTGAGTTTTTAATAGGAAATTACAAATGCAGTAATAAAGTTTTTAGGTCACCAAGATTTATGTTTTATTTAACTGCTGAACTCTTGCTATTAGAGGAAAGGAAAGATTAGTTGTTCTCATTTACAATGTGACATTTACATTAAGCAATAAATGCTCTAGTGGTACATTAATTTATTTGTCATGTGATCTTGAATATATGTAACAATTTGTAAACATTTTCCTATAGCCAAGTATATGGTACTGTACTTTTCTCCAGTAATACAAATGCATTCCCATATCCAATCAATGTTTGTAATTTAATTTTTAAAGTAGATTTAGCAATACTAGTAGCAAGGCAAGCATAATTTAGTAATAGTGTTTATATGAATCTTTCTGAATATGCTTTAAAAGGTATTAATATGGAAAACTTTCCAATTTTACTTTCTTTCTTTTTCAAATTATTTGTCAAGTTATATGTCTTAATAAAATAGCATTTCCTGTGTTATGACCTCAGTTTTGAAATAGTCCACTAAAGATCATGACTATATTATGCCAAATAATAAATTATTACATAGTTATTTTTAAAAGTGATTGAATGAATTGCAGTAAAATCGTATGACACAATTATTCATATATTTCAAAACAGCATGCATATGCATTATGTAGACCAAACCTCTGGATAAACAAATGCTATTTTATAATTATTTTCAACACAAGGTCAATATAATTAAAGACTAATAAGAACACCACACCATTTATTTTGTACTATTAGGATACTAGGTAGAAGGATGAGTAATGATACCACTTGGTGGATTCATAAGTGTTCAAATGTTACGGGTGTTTAAAATGAAGGGAATATTAAGATTCTGTCAGTTGACACCATCACATATTTTAGGAGTTTCCTTAGTTTTCAATGGGTTAAAACTAGGCAACTTTAAGAAGAACTCCCTGTGAGAAACAAAATTATTGCCTGCCTACAATATGTAAAGTACTATGCTGAATACTTTCACACATAATATATTTAGTAATAATTACAACTTTTTGTAATTTTTTTTCACTTTAAGAGAAGAGTGGGTGATATGGTTGTAGCTTTTATTTCAATCTAAGTCTATGAGACTTTAAGGTTCTACTTCTGTTGATAGTGAAACTTATCAATGCATATGTTCAGACAAGTGAATAGTAAAACAGTAAATAGTAAAGACATTGTAAAGGATAAGAAATTTTCATTGGGTGCTGAGGAAGCGATAATTCTTACTTTTAAAAACATATTTCCAAATAACTTCCAGAGTTGTATTCATGTTTGCTGAGTTTTAAAAGAGTTTAGTATTGGCATTCCAGGTGATTGTACAAGGGAGGACCATATTCCTTGAGAATATGTGTACATAAACTGTAACATTTGACACATTTCCTAAGATTGTGGAAGATGGTCAACATAGCAGCAACTTGGAACTAAGAAACTGACCAAAATTCTTGTGGGTGTTTATATGCCAGCACTGGAAAATTGTAGTATTAGAGTCTTAAATCTGAAATCTCCTACTTTGATCATTGTACTGACCGAAATACATGAACTAAAAAAATAGAACCTTGCGTTGTTATAGAATCCTATAATGGTTTTCTGAAATCTTCATTTACAACATGAGATATAAAATATCTCATAGAATGAGATAGCCCTACATGAGAGTCCTGACTTTGCCATTTACCAGCTATACGACCTTGACCAAAGTTAGCTGACCTTAATTCTTGTTTTTTTGTAGCAGTAATATAAGAATATGAATTTACCTTATTTGATTTTTGGGAGAATTGATTAAAGTAACACATGTTTTATGGTAACTGATACATAGTAAGTTCTTAATAAAAGTTATTATTACAAAAAAAATGCTATTTTCATTAATAAATAATGTGAACATACAGTAAAGGAATTTTTCGCTGGGGAATTATAATTTGGACAAGAGTATTAACAGTTACTGTGCTTTTCATGATAAAATAAAGACATGGAAATACTGTTGATAATTAATATGTTTTTGAGAAAATTAGAGAGATTTTTGAGGCGTATATATGTTGCCACCACAACACACCGTTATACAACATAATTATAAAATTCAGATTTACTTACTCTTTTTACTATATCTTTACTACAGAGATAGGAACGTGATCAAAGCTGCAGGGGACAAAAAAGAGACTTTTTGGTCTAAACATTTTGGTTAGAAATTTACTGTGACTGTATTTACTCACATGTGTGCAAAATGCATATATGTGAACAATGATATTATTTTCATAATAACAAAACCCCAGTAACTTACACATTTTCCACTGGGATACTTTAGGAGCAGATTATGTGTATGGTAGTTGTGTACCGATAGAATGGATGGGTTCACACTGGAAGATAGAAATGAAATGATTTTCAAGTCATTTCATGAAAGGAATAGAGCACAACAGGGCACAGTATACTGATCAATGTATATAAATCTACACACATGTCAGGCTCGGTGGCTCAGCCTGTAATCTCGTGCCTTTGGGAGGCTGAGGTGAGTGGATTGACTGAGCCCACGGGTTCAAGACCCGCCTGGGCAGGCGAGACCTCATCTCTACAATAAATCAAAAAATTAGCCGGGTGTGGTAGCGCGCGCCTGTAGTTCCAGCTACTTGGAAGGCTGAGGTGGAAGGATCGCCAGAGTCCAGCAGGTCGAGGCTGCGGTGGCCGGGAGCGGTCACTGCACTCCAGTCTGGGCGACCAAGTGAGACTCCAACTCAAAAACAAAATTAAAAAATAAAGAAAGAAATAAATAACTCTACACACACATGTAATATTTCTTAAAATTTTTCCTGAAATGTAAAATTAGTTTTCTCTGAGAGGGATATCTTGCTTTGGAGAAGAATTTATTTTTGGATTTCTTGTATTTTTATCATGCTTGTATGGATGTAACATTAGTTACAAAATATTGTAATATTTTGGAATAATACCTCAAAACTGAAGATGATTTCAACAATCATAAACTACATAACTTAATTTTCACCACATTTCTATTAATTAAACTCACAGGCTAGTATTAAAACACTGCATAAGTCAATACATATTTAATCATCACTTTCTATGTACCAGGCACATAGTACCAGGAGATACGAGTAAAAAGCAAATGTTCCAAAATATTTATGGAAGGAAATAAATAAAAGACAAGCGATAGCTATATCAGAGTGGTTGATGCATGATAAATATATATTCATGTGTATGTGTGTATGTGGTATGTGTTAGTTACTCTAAAACTCTAGAGTAAACATTTTTATTTTATAATAAGTATGAATTTTAAAAGATATAGCATTGTTTGACAGATTCATGCAAATAAGTAAAATATATAAACTATAATTTACTTTTATTCAACTGTTCAATTAATCTGTACATTGATTTTTAACATTTCTGAGAATTTTAGTATTCAATAAAGCAATAGCTTAACTTGTCTTTTGAAATAATTTCTAGCTATAGGGTATTTTAAGACCATATCATCACTCTTAAATTTTGGTTTTACATGATCATTCATATATCTTTACAAATGGAGACAGCAGAAACAGTAAACTAAACTGAAGTCATTGTTGGATCATCTTTTATCTGTTTTCATTGTTAAGTTTTGGAATTGTATTATTTCCCACTTTTGTTTCCACAGCCAAAATAAGTCATAGTCAAAGTAAAATGACTAAACTTTCATTCATTTCAAGAACATTTAAAACAATTCAGTCTATTTCTGCATTTAAAATGTCAGTGTTTTAATGTCAATCAGTACTATTATATAGACCATAAGAGAAAGATGTAAGTTGATTATTAGTTAGATTGACATGGAGTACTCAGAAAGAAGTAGAAATCAGTAATCTTCTGACATAAAGTTAAAAATTAATGAATGTCTGTGTATTGCCTCCATAGACATAAGTGTTGCAATAGATAGATTTTTTTCTGTTGAAGAAAACATAGGAAGCACAGCATAAGACTATCATCTCCATGAGGGTAGGGCTTTTTACTCGAATCTCCTGGTACTATGTGCCTGGTACATAGAAAGTGATGATTAAATATGTATTGACTTATGCAGTGTTTTAATACTAGCCTGTGAGTTTAACTAATTGAAATGTGGTGAAAATTAAGTTATGCAGTTTATGATTGTTGAAATCATCTTCAGTTTTCAGGTAAGAAAACTCCTTTCAAAAGTGAAAAGCAGTCGGGCTCGGTGGCTCAGCCTGTAATCCCGCGCCTTTGGGAGGCTGAGGTGAGTGGATTGCCTGAGCCCACGGGTTCGAGACCCGCCTGGGCAGCGAGACCTCATCTCTACAATAAATCAAAAAATCAGCCGGGCGTGGCAGCGCATGCCTGTAATTCCGGCTACTCGGAAGGCTGAGGCGGAAGGATCGCCGGAGCCCAGCAGGTCGAGGCTGCGGTGGCCGGGAGTGGCCACTGCACTCCAGTCTGGGCGACGGAGTGAGACTCCAACTCAAAAAAAAAAAAAAAGTGAAAAGCAGAATGTTAATGTAGTCCTTGGAATCACGACATAGTGCACATTCCACTGGAAAACCTTGTTTTGCAAATCTTTTAAAATTCTATTTGCTGATGTCCTGATATAGTTTGAGAGTGATCAACAGTTAACAACTTTATTTCCCAAGGATATTTCATGAGCATTTTTTGATGGACTTTTTGTTTTTTGCTTTCCTTCTTTGAAGAGACCCTGTAACCATTCGACCAGGTGTTGAGAAGATATGTAGGAGCTGAGCACTCTTCCTTTTGACACCATCCTCAGAATCAGCTTTGGAGATGCTTTCACCCTGTCCGTCTTCTGCAGCAGCCAGGCAGAGTGCTTATTCCTTCACAGTTGTGAGGAACTCTTCAGGCTCCAGAAGTAAGTTAATTGCATTCAGTTTGATCATTGCTAGTGGGCTTAAAAACACTTAGGGGAAGCCAGGCGTGGTGGCTAATGCCTGTAACTCCAGCACTTTGGGAGGCTGAGGCGAGAGGATTGCCTGATCTTACACGTTCGAGACCATTCTGAGCAACATGGAGAGCTCATCTCTACAATAAATCAAAAAACTCAGCCAGGTATTGTGTCACATGTCTATGGTTCCAGCTACTTGGAAGGCTGAGGTGGAAAAATCACCTGAGTCCAGCAGGTCAAGGCCGTGGTGATCGTGAACAGGCCACTGTACTCCAGTCTTGGTGACAGAGTGAAACTCCAACACACACACAAAAACAACAACAACAACAAAAAAAAACACTTAGGGTTGACTAAGCAAAATTCTAATAAACTTATACAAAGTAAACCTAGCATTACTCATCATTGGTTATTTCGTTTATTTTGTCATCATATTTTTATAAAGATAAAAATTCTAGCACATTTTGTGTTGATAGCCTTATGGAATTTTCTGTTTTTTGTTTTTCCAATATTGGGTTTCACATTCGTTATCATAATATACATTAGCAGCCTTAAGTTCTTGATGGTGGAAAAGGAGGTTAAAATAACAATGTTTGCAAATAAGTAAAGAGATTCAGATTGACCAAGTATTTTACCAAAGTAGATTGGCTAATGAGTTATGAAAATGGACTAAAATCTTTGTTTGTTTGTTTTTATTTTTACACATTAAATGTTCTTTCCTGACTGTGATGTTCAGTGCTATATGAAGGGTAATAGGCTAGGACTAGAAAAAAGCACTTTTTCTCATTGGTTGGTTTATTAAATGATGTTCTCTGTGTCATAAATATGCATACTGGAAAAATGAAAGAAAATGAAAATCATAAATAGGAAAGTGAATTGAAATCTGAGGACATGAATAGTCTACAAAATGCATAACATAGTGTATTATATACAACCTGAAACAAATTCCCAGTACTGCATTTCTCTTTGGGCTTTCTAACTTTTAGAAAAATAAAGTAAATGAATTAGTTACACAATTGTTTATGTACATAGGATAGGAAAACTAGAGACAATTCCTCAGAAAAAAATGAGACTTTTCGGGTCCATACTCGTGATTTTATTGTTTTGCCATTAAAAAAAGATTTACTTGGTTTAAATTGAGGTATTTCCTTTTTTCTCCCCATAAATTCATGATATAGGCATCTCTTGTTGTTCTTGATGATATATTTATATTATACTGTCACCACATAGAAAATTACTATAGGTAAATTTTCTAGAGAGCAAAAGTTTGATATAACCTAGATTGTCTATTTGTGATTGAATTGAAATTTTCTTGAAATGAGCGGGTAGGAGATACTTGATAAGCTTAACATTACTTAGCAATGTATTACAGTGTCAGCATGTTTGCAACATAAATGTATATGTTATTTAAAAAACATAAAAACTGTTAAGAATTTATTTCTGAATCAATGCAACCAATTATATGAGATTTAAAACAGGCAGCCAGTATGTTGTTACTAGTGTGCTCAAAATTGTGTGAAAGAACTACTTTTAAAAGACACAGACAAAAAGACTATATCTAAGTTATATTAAGGCTAATTCATTTTAATTGTAATTATAGCACAAAATGATGAGACTGAGTATGGAGAAGATAAATTACAAATCATTATTTTAGTGTAGGTTTTTTCCTGTCTAGTTTATTACCTTGTACTCCTTTTGTACATGATTTATTCATTTATTTTAAGAATTGCGTTTGTTGCTTTGCTCCTTGAGCCCTTTATTAAATGAGGAAATCATTGCAAGTTTCAACTTGAGGAAGTCATTGCAAGTTTCCCATCTTTTACATTAATTAAGGAGACATAGGACCACCAGGTCCAATCCTGAGGCGATCTCACAAACAGTGAAAATGTAGAAATGAATAGAGTTATGGCAATGTCACAAGAAACTCCAGAGATTTTATCTGCCAAACAATTAATTAGCGAATTAATGACTTGTTTTGTTTTTCACTGATGAAGCTAACTTTTTCTAAATAAGGTGTTCAACATTATGAAAGCTGTTAGCAAAGGAAATATATTTAATGACATAGATTCCCTAGTGTAAGTCACAAAACTAAGTAAATTCTAATATATTTTCATTTACTAATGACTACAGTCAAGGCTAAAGGATTTACTTAATTAATTTGGCAATAACAATGATTTATATATTGAAAAAGACTTTTTCAAGTTAATGTTTGATTCAGTTTTTTAAATTAATAGCCCATTAGTCTGTAGTCTGGTAATTTTATCTTTTTATTTTTTCTTTGAAGTAACATTGGGTTGAAAGTCTTCCATGGAATCAATTGCCCTAAAAAAAAAAAAAAAAAGAAAGAAAAGAAAAAGAAATGAAATACATTTCTAATTCGATTCCTCACATTTCAGATAGCTCATTGAAAATTCATAGCACATCCATTAAAATTCCTTTACAAAATAAATGGGATACTGGGAACTTTTTACAAGTGAAATAGTGACTGGAGAAATAGTAGTAAAATAATAATACAATGGAATATCCACTTGTGATTAAGGCAGGACAGTTGAGGGGGTAATGGTTGCTATTTTTCTCACAGTGGCATTTTAAATTAATCTTGACCAGTAAAAGTACTTTTGTCTCTTTTCTGCTTTTCTTTCTTTCTTTTTCTTTTTTCTTTTTTTTTTTTTTTTGAGTTGGAGTCTCATTCTATCACCCAGGCTGAAGAACAGTGGCATGCTCACGGATACCACAGCCTTGACTTACTGGGCTCAGGTGCTGCTTCAACTTCAGCCTTCCAAGTAGCTGGAATCACAGGCATGTGCCACCACTCCTGGCTAATTTTTTAAATTTGTTGTAGATAAAAGTTCTCACCATATTGCTCGGGCTGGTCTCTGACCCCCGAGCTCAGGCAATCCTCTTGTCTCCACCTCCCAAAGTGCTGGGATTACAGGCATGAGCCACTGCTACCAGCCCTGCTATTTTTTATTTAACAAAAACTCTAATGCGTTTAAATGGTTAATAGTGATGTCTGAGCAGGAAATGCGTTAGTATGTACATGCCTGTGTAAATATATATGTTTGCATTTATGTATGTAAAGATAATTTAGTATAAACATAACAAAAATGGTAACTACACTACAAAGTTAATATGCCTCCTATATATTAAGGTATCCTTAATAGCATTAAACATATAATATTCAAAATATTTTTGTCCTTCTGAAACAAACTTCCCAACTTCCCTATATTAGAGACTTATAAATTATGACCTTTGATAACAATACGTGACAGTGGCTTAACTAGCTGTCATAATAATGGTCAACATGTTATCATTTGACAATGCTAGCAATCTTTACTAAACATTAATTTATTTGATTCTTATACCATCTCTAAGAGGGAGTTTAATATGTGTATTCATATTAGATATTTTTCATGTTTAATGCCTTAAAGCACAAATTTATATTCTTGAAATTATCCCAGAAAATATGATACACAAAAATAAACGATAGAAAATCAGTCATCAATATAACAAAACAATATGCTGTGAATACTTACATAGTTATATGAATTCAGTATTAATTAGGTTCAATAATTTCAAAAAATACAGCAAAGTAAACATATTAAATTATGTAGTATTCATTTATAAAAGAATAAAAAATAAGAAAAATTTTGTAATTATTCTCAAAAATTTTATATTCAGTACAGATCTTACCAGTCAATTCCAAATTGATATTTCTAATTACATAAGCTCCTTAAATTTAACTTGTGGCAAACTAACTTCTTGATTATTGTCTTACTTTATTTGCATTACTATAAAAAATATCTGAAGCTGGATAACTTATAAAGAAATGAGATTTATTTGGCTTATGGTTCTGCAGGCTGTACCAGAAGCATGGCACTGGCATGAGAACCTCAGAAGGCTTTCAGTCTTGGTAGAAAGGAAAGGGGAGCCAGTGAGTTACATGGCAAAAAAGAGAACAAGAGGGAGAGGAGGCAGGTGCCACACTCTTTTAAACAACCAGCTCTAGTGTAAACTAATGGAGTGAGAACTCCCTCATTACCATGATGACAGCACCAAGCCATTCATAAGGGATAGGCCCTCGTGATTAAAATCTCTCCCACCAGGCCCCACCGCCAGCACTGATAATCAAATTTTAACATGAGATTTGGAGGGGATAGATATTCCAACTATATTAGTTATCTCCCCACATGGATTATTTTGCTATTCTTGAGCTCAGTAGATGTAATCATTTTATACCAGGAAAAGTAGGAATCATTTAGTCACCTCTGTCTTTTTCATTTCTACAATTAAATTTATTACCTAGTCTGGTCAGATTTACCTACTTTATATATGTTCCATCTACTTTTCCCCATTTTCGCCCTTATTATCCTGATTTCCACTCCATAATCTCTTTCCTAGACTACTTCAGAGGCCTCCTAAATATTCACTTTTATCCAGTGATGTACCTATCATGTTTATTCTCCATAGGTAGCTAAGGGGAGCTTACAAAACACAAAAGTAAGATGTCATGTCCTCCTTAAAGACCATTACTCTTAGAAGAAAGAAAGAGTTTGTTATCATGGTTTACAATGGTTTAGTACTTTTCTAAATGCCCCAGTTGTCCTGCATCGTGCTCCTCTTCCTGCATTCTGAAAGAAAGGCCAATTTATTCTTCTTTCTATCATGTGACTTCCCACCAAGGTCTTTATACCTGTTTCTCCCAAAGCAGCTTATCACTCTCAAAGCCTTTTCCTCTAGTATCTCATTTTTTTTCTTCTAATCTTGCATCTCATCTCAATCACAGAAAATCCGTCCCTCCTTCCCTTCCTCTCTCTCTTTCTGTGTGTATATCTTTTTAGAGACAGATAATCTCTGAGAGCTTAAAAAAAAGTCACATCCATTCTACTGGGGTTAAGGGAAAAACATATACTGGACAGAAAATATTGGCACTGGAAAATTACTGATTAAATTTTGGCTTTTTGTCAACT